TAAAAATACTTTATTAGAAATTCAGATTTTTTCTGTACAAAAGACTCATGATGTTTACTGAAAGCTTGCCAAATGTCGTGAAGATACAGAAACCGTATCGGACGATACGATACGATACTCTTATCGTATCGCTGTATCGACACACCTTTAGTTAATACACAGATAGCTGGAGAAACTTCACCAGCAAGTTTCTTATTTACTACATACAAAAACAAAGCTGATAAAATGTAATTCTGGTTTTTCCCCAACCACCGGGCTAAAATAACGAATCAATAAATACAAAATGAAGCTTAAATAGAGCTTGTTTTAATAATTTCACATTGAGGTTTAGTTGTTTGATGTTTATTACCCGTTAATGTAATACTGAGATATTAAAAAAAATCGGCGATAAGATTACGTACGGGCTTATAAAACTAAAATTCGGGGTTCGATTTCCCTCGGTGGACAGACCGATAGAACACCAACTAAAGAAGTGATACGTTTAGATCACCGATAACCTGTGTCCGTCCCCCGAGACGACCGGACTATATCGGTGACCTGGCACAAGCAGTAAACCCCTGACGTAGATGCACGAGGACATTGTAACCCATGTAGGGGGAAAGTTCCAGCATCTCAAGGATTTACTTTGTCAAGTACATAAGTTTGTATGTTACTACAGTACTGTCATTAGCTTGAACCGTAATAAAAAGAGGCCTGAAAATTCCATCCGAGGAGAGGCCACTGACAACTCTTAGGCATAAAGTCCATTTTTTAATTCGTGGATCAAGAGAGAGACAGTGTTAGACATAATTATCACAATGAATGGTATAAAATGTGTCTTGAAGATGTAAATATTTGGAGACGTGCGTGGCCTAGTCGTTAGCGTGTCGGGATGCGGGTCAAGGGTTTCAGACGTGATGCCACTGAATACACTCCGCATATTCAACCGTGTAGGGCGTGTTATAAAAGTGAAAGTCAATCCCGTTATTCACAACAAAGAGTTAGGCAATGCCTTCCCTCTGGACATTGGTGAATGGACGGTTGTATCTGAACCCCCCCTGGGGCCTTGCCCGTTTATTCACTGAGTTAAGGTGATATTCGGGTTGAAAATTTCAGTTATTTTTTTGAAGAATTCGAACTGCGATATCACAGCGCCCTCTGCATTCGTAAATCTATGGCTCTTGGAATCCTTAGTATGAAAGACAAGAAACTTGTCTTTTATTATATCATTTAAAAAAGAATTATCGAATGGTTTACCAATATTAAGACGAACGAAATTCTCTGTAAATGTCCGCATGGCCTTTTGACTAACAGGAGAATATTTAATACTCAAATATACAGTCAGCACTGTGTTCAGCTGTAGTAACACTATAACTAGACAGCATGCTGTAGTAACACTATAACTAGACAGTATGCTGTAGTAACACTATAACTAGACAGCATGCTGTAGTAACACTGCTGTAGTAACACTATAACTAGACAGTATGCTGTAGTAACACTATAACTAGACAGCATGCTG